AAAAATTCTCATGGCTCTGTGGTCGTCACACACCCGTGCACAATTTCCCCACCACAACTGAATTTCGACCTCTGGGTGGTTTACGGGCCCTTCAAAACCACATAGTGGGTGCATAGAAAGTTCAAAAAGATTTAACGCGCATCATAACTGCTTTTGGTTTAAAGCACGCTACCCATTACACAGAATGCAGCCACATGTGAAAGCTTCACTGAAACACCCACTTTCAACTTTATGCATTCTATTGTATAATCCACAATTTAAACTTCTCGAGTAATATGATACAATAGAAGGTATGCACTAAGTGGTTGAAATAAGCACTAGGGACAGGATATCGCTATCATGTTCACCTCTTGGAGGCAAAGCTTGAGGGTACCTTATTTTTCTTTTCTTTGATATTATATGTGGTGTTTAATGTCCCAAAACCACCATATGATTATGAGAGATGCCATAGTGGAGGGCTTCGAAAATTTCGACCAACTGGGTTCTTTAACGTGCACCCAAATGTGAACACACGAGCTTACAGCATTTTTGTCTCCATTGAAAATGCTGCTGCCGCAGCTGAGATTAGATCCTGCGACCTGCGGGTCAGCAGCCGAGTACCTTAGTATTTTTTTTTCTAAACTGTAGAATAAATACTACTAAAAATAAATGCAGCTTTCTTTTTTCTTTTAACTATGGTACCATAATTTTTATCCTCTGTATTTAGAAAAAAAAAAAGGCTTTTTTGCATCCCTTGTAGAGCTCCAGACAGCCTTGTGGTATACATCTGCCGTAGCTCTGGGTGGCAGATAAAAGCTGTCGTCAGTGATCTGCCAGTGAAATAGCTTTGGGCAGCCAACTACATCTACCCTGCCTGCACAGCAGGCTTTCATTGAGGTAGGTCCTTTATAAAAAGTTGACCTTGAAATGTTTTGCCATCAAGCTTAACTGACAATAGTACATTTAACTTTTGGTTTTTTTTTTTTTCGAATATTTATACTCACTTAAAAGATTGCAATATGCAGACTACAAGTTTTGAAACGATATTTTAAAAATCTCTGGTATCCAAACAACTACAGTCCCAAGTTAAACCCAAGGTTTAACACTGTATAACTACAGTATATAACATCACCCTGCATGGGAGAGAGTAACAGAAAAGAATAGGTGCCCATAATTCATCTGTAGTGACACGATTGAAGTAAAGATGTGTTTTTTTTGTTGATTCTGAAAATTTGCACAGTTTTACTTGAATTGCATTATAGACGAATTATTTATCCAAGAAACCATACACATTTAAATTGGACCTATTGTACACACATTCATGTAGAAAGAGAGACGGTACTTGCAGCACGCAGTGTTTTAGTGCAGGTGTCTTGTATAACTTCAGCTGCAGTGAAGTTGTAGAACACCCACCTCTGTAACAGAGGTACTTGGTTTGATAGCTAGTGTCACTAAGCACTGGCGGCACGTGCCCATGGGTTTTTCTGATGGACACGAAGGTACCTCACCTGGCATTTGGGGTTGAGGGTACTCGCCCAATAATGCTTCATGGTTAAGAAAGGTCAATGTCAATGTCTGTAATGCCCATGAAACCATGGCTCAGCTATATTGGAGCAAGGGCAAACAAAAGAAGGGAGTGTGAACTAGAGACCAGCTTCTAGACACTAGTACCCACACTGAGGAGCACCAACAGCTTTAAACAACCCTCTACCCCCCCCCCATTTTGTGCATATACATAATATATCAGAAGATCCTTCTCCCCATTATATGTGTAAGTGCCCAGCAGCACTGGGAATAAAACTTGGTGCCTCCTGCAGAGAGGCCCACACACCACCACAACTTCACTACTGCCCTTTTGGGTCTCTCATTTTCTTCACCTCTCCCAACAAGGCTACAACATGCTCCATCATAGGGCTGCAAAATATAGCAGCCTTCCTTAGCTAAATGGCTATTTTCCTTTGTATAACTCACTAGTGTGTCCATTAATTTTGCGGTGAGAAAGTAAAAAAAAAAACATGCAAGATGTCTTACCGTTACTCCATGCTCTGACGCATGGAGGAAAGCCTTCCTCCATACTTTGGTGACAGGTCTACATTCTAACAGCAACATTACAGTATTTACTCATGTATAAGCTGTTAAAATACCCCCTGGTTTAAAAAATGTTCTGCTAGCATCATAATTATCAAAAGAGAGACAGCAACCATGAAAAAGAATGTGAACATGTTTCGGTTCCAGTCAGGGGAGCCAAAACATTTTCACATTTGTGTTTTTCTTAATTTTCATGAGGTTACTTCCTGACCAAACAGGCTTCCATCGAAACCTGGCATATTTCGCAAATCCTGAAATTATCTAGAGCACACGTGCAAGGCAGACTGGGAAGATCGGTGCACTAAAACATATCTGCAGTTCAGGCCACAAGCAAATAGCTCGGGCAGAAACTCTCTACAGTAAAATTTCATTAATACACAGCAATGTTGAAAAGTACCGACTAAGTTGCAATAAATCCCGCATAAAGCCTCACAGTAGGTGTATGCGACAATAGAAATTTAGTACTTCTTCCTTCCAACAATCACTACACTGCAGGTGGAGCCCGACATCTTCTCTCCAAAAACAAACACGTTTCGTCTGCTGCATGCTGCACACAAATAGTTCCAGGGACCATCATCGGTTCAATGCTGCAGCCAGTGCTGCAATGAAGCAGTGCTGGTTTTTATTTGGCAGCGGATTCCTTTTACAAACTTGCACACACATATCTGGGCTGCATGAGCTGTCCATTTTGTCTCCATGTTCCTCATTGTAGTTGCAATATGTTTCTTCTGTCGCCACTGTGCTATTGTACGGTCATGCAAGAAAGCCGGATTTTTTACTGCACTTCCAGAAAACAACAACAATAATAATAAAAGAAAGCCATTACTGCCAGTTTTCCTTTATAACTGACTCCTTAAGCACTTATTGCTGCTGTTTGCTTTCTGCTTCCTTTCATACTCTCCTGTGCACACTGTTTACTTCGTTCATGATTTTACCACTGTTTCGGTATGCCATTTCAAGAGGGAGGGGCTATCGCAGTTACTTTACTGACAATTATTTCCACTTGCTGCCAGTTTTGGGCAGCCTATTTTCTGGTTATAATTAGGCAAACACTGTTTTGCGTGCCACGACTCTTGCATATGTTCCCGAGGATGTCTGTGAAAATTTTGCTTAGTGGCAATTTTGCATAGTTGTAATACTTGTATATTTTACATCGTTGTAATACTTTCTGAGCAGTGTTCATAATGTTCCATAGCTTTGATCCATTCGAACAAAAGCCTGCACGGGAGTTGCCAGTACAGAACAACAGTCTTTAATGTTTTTTTTTTTTTTTGTTAATGTGAGGAATGGCTCTGCTGCATAGGCTGTTTGGCTTGTGTGTTTGTGACCGATATCCATGATATCGGTATATGTCCCTGCATATGTCCCAACATAGAATTTTTTTGTGTAAATTGAATGATTTTAAAACTTCCTTGAATATATTGCCAATATGAAAAAATATATATAAAGAATTTTTTTCTGTGCTTCACATATATCTTGGTTGGAGTGTAGTGGTCCCAAAATGCTCCTCCAGTTGATAAGTGTTGGTGGCGAGAATCTACTTAGCTTAGCTTGCGATACCCAAAAGACAATTATGTAAATACAGGAAACTCCAGAATTTTTAATGAAATCCCAGTTCTTGGTTCATGCTAACCACTTCATTGGTTTCAATGCTCTGCCTACCACTCCACTCTTTATCAGGCAAATTGGTGGTGCCACTTTTTTTAAAATCTACGCGACTCTCCCAGCTTTCATTCACTTAATGATAGATGCATAAACTAGACAACCCTTGATGAATTTTACGAGCCAATCTTTTTACACAAAAAAAATTGGCAGATCCCACGTAGTGGGAATCGATGATATGCGAAGCACCAATGAAGGTTGATATGTCACTTTAAAATCATTACAACGTTACAAGGTGCATAGATTTAGTACACAGTAAACACAAGTAGAAATGATATGCACACTCAGGTATCTGATAAGATGCAAGTATGTTGTTTATAGTCTCGTAGTGACGGCACCACTTATGTTTCCAATAACAGCCCCAGCAGTTGTAGGCATGTAAATTGTGCCGTACGTGACTTCCATGTCATGATTATCATGTTTGTGCCTGGCATGCACGTTTGTCATCTATTCACATCTTGCATACCAAATTTAATATATGTGAAGCTAGTGAAACGGCCGTGTGCTTATCATGAGCGTGGCATGTAGTCATGTTCTTGCATGACATGTATGTCATGATTATTGCATTTGATGCAGTCATATACCTTCATCTATCAATATCTCATAATACCAAATTTGGTATATGTGAAGCCAGCAAAACGACTATGACCATATGGCATGTAGTCATGACTTCCATTACATGCATGTCATGATTTCCCCATTAGGGCCTGCCAATTATGTTCACCATGTCATACCAAACCAGTTTTGCAACATCATGTCATGTGAACAAAGCCACTGCAAGAGCAACAAGACCATATAATGTAAATCATGACATGTCATGATTTCATGTTATGACTAGTCACTTATGCTGACCATACAATCTATGCCATAAAAATTATGGTATAGATCCCATCATCGAAACGGTCAGGAGAGATGAAAGTCGTAAGCTACTAGATAGGTAGATAAATAGATACGCTCAAAGTCGCTGAAGTTCGCTAAGAAATGCTTCGCATTTAAAATCAAATCGCAGCACACAGCTCACCACAGGTAGAAGTGATCATTTGCACAAACATTGTAGTCTGCATTCACTGCCAAGTAAACAAATACAGGATTGAAACAGTGCCTTCAAAAGCAATTATTTGAAGAGGCTGCATGTGTTCCACTTGACTCTGACTTGCGAATAGTTAAACATAAGAAAACTGCTTTTACTTTTTGAATATGCCTGGTATTTGTCATCGTTTCAGCATTATCAGCTTCTGCCAAGTTTCCAATAACCTGAAGAAAAGCATTCATTCAGCACAGCAATTCAGCCTTTATTCAGCATATCGATGATCAAGGACATAAGCATAATAACTATGGAGTATAAATTTATTTCATTTATAGTTTGCTACAGTTACATTTACAAGAGGCTACATTTATTTTAAGAGGATTAGAAAATGATGACGGTGATATTATGAATGAAGGATGTTGTTAAAAATACATTTTTAACCACATTTGTAAATGCCATCATACGTCAGTGATAAAATATATTTTGATAAAAAATATACAAAATATAAGAAAATATTCTTGGAAAAGTTGTCACATAGGAGGCTTGGGCAGCACGTTTTCTTTTGCTGTTTGGTTGAGCGTGCCTTTTTGTCCTTGTTTCATTTTCTGGCTGTGGAGTTGCACTTGCAGCATGGCGATTTCTTTCGTCTGCTTGAGGTTCTTTTCTCTGAGAATGTGCAGCTCCTGGGAAGAAGAGAGGAGGAAAAAATTCAACATTAGTACAATAACCAATACAATAATTTCGGATTGACATTTCACTATTTCTGAGCTCTGACATCGCGCTAATATGAACAGAAAGCTGCTAGTTTTAGAATATATCGAAAAGTGCCGAGCAATCAAATAACAGTGCAGCACTTTCAAGCTTGAAATATAGAGAACAATATGTTTGCATGAAATAGGTGATACCTGTGCGTGTTTTCATAGTCATTTGAAAGATAGGTTAAGCTTATTATTAAAAAAATCTTTGGTTCTCGCCTTAAGAGCAGGCATAATGTTGCAACATTAGTCTATGAATCGCAACAGCAGTACGCAGCATTTTCACACCAACAGGATATAAGGCATCTCGAGTCAGCGCCAATCATATTATGTAAAAAAAAAAAAAAAAGAGGCGTCAAACAGTAAGAGACCTTTTGGTTTTTCTTTACTTAGTATAAGTAGTGCCAAAAAGTCTAAGCATCACACTGACACCAGTATACTACCCTACTTTAAGGGATTGTTTACTGTATGAATTACTAGCTGCCTGAATCTTCATATGAGACTTTTCTCTAAAATGTTAATATGTTCTTCAAAATGAGCATGCACATTAAATTGAGATTCTTTTTATACTTGATCTGGTTTGAGTGCATGCTGTACCAATATAGCCACTATGGGTAGCAATGCCTCTTGATACCGTGGCTATTGTGGTTTTGAAAGTGGTGAAGCTTACTCCAAGGGAAAGCTACAGATTGCGATGTAGACCACGTAACTGGTTGTCGATATTTGTAGCACCCTCTGTGGGCGAGATTCACCTATTTTGAAATGACAACAGCAATGATACCACAGTGCAAATATGCAATTGTGTATGCTGGAGCTTGCTTTACAATGTGTATTTTTTGCACCCAATGGCTGTTTTTTTTTTGCAACAAAGCTACAAGCTAATTTCACACAATTGCAGCAGATAGTCTTATAATAAACACAGTGTTTGGTATGAATCACTTGCTTTTTATATATTTATACGTAGGGTTAAACGTCCTTAAACCACTATATAATTATGAGACACACCGTAGTGGACGGCTCCGGAAATCTCGACCACCTGGGGTTCTTTAATGTGCACCCAAATCTGAGCACATGGGCCTACCACATTTCTGCCTCCATCGGAAATGCAGCCGCCGCAGCTGGGATTTGATCTTGCGACCTGCGGGTCAGCAGCCAAGTACCTTAGCCACTAGACCACCGCGGTGGGGCATGTAGTCCACGATGAAAATGCAGCTTATTTTATTCTGCAAGTAGTACTCGAGAATATAAAGTTTCAATCAACACTACTTTTATGTGTTTTGGATCAGATAAAGGGAGCTATTTATGGCTGTACAATGGGAGTACAGCCACTGGACAGCTTCTGCTCCACTAGTTTCTTGCCTGTCATGTTTATATTGTATTGCAGCACTACCCCCCTGGTGACAATAACACAGCCTTGGTGCTGTTGGATATTTCTACTGAGGAAGAAAAGTTGTAGAACTTCAGCCTGGTGATGCGGACTATGTCATTGGTTGTCACAGAAGATGATGTGGCAGGACTGGCTGGTGTAATCTCGCACATAAAGTCACTTGGCGAGCCAAGCAGTGTGTGCCTTTGCAAGACGAGAGCAGTTTCTCGCAATGTCTAACTCAATGAGAGGGTGACTAAAGACCAAAAGTTTACGCTGAAGTGACAAGTTATAGTGGTGCTGCTTCCAGTTACTGAGTGCAATCAGCGTGAGTAATGATCGATGGAATATTCACTCTCCAAGGACATTGGTTCCCAGCTATACAGTACTTGCAGACTGAAGTGAGTATAATGTTAGTAGAATGACTGCTATAAGCAATTTTGCATAATAATTATTTCACGTTGCTGAAAATCTGGCTTCTACAGGTAATTTTGGGACTGCTGTAAGGGCTAGAGTCAAAATTATGCAGATGTGACTAAAAATGTACAAGCCAGAGACAAAAGAGTGTGCATTACTTAGCCCTGAATTTTCGTGTTTCAGCTTGTGAGAAATTTACAAAAGGTAGAATGTAACATGTGGCAGAGTCCAGGGAGGTAATAAATAATAATAATTGTTAAAGTTTCACGTTCCAAAACCACAATATTATGCAGACGCCATAGTGGAGGGCTCCAGAAATTTTGACCAACTGGAGTTCTCTAACATGCCTCTAGTTCTGCACTACTAGACCGCTGTGGTGGGAGAGTCCTGGTGGATAAGTTACTATGTGAAGGTATTTTAAGGCAGAAAAAGATCCTAGTCTCGATGGTAGCATTAATGATTTTAATTATGTCTGCTTGTGTACAGCTCAGTTGCAGAGTGAGACAATGTTTTGAGAATGGTAGGAGACGGTATGCCGACACTAGACACTAGACACATGGCCCCGGTCGTTGAGCACTTGATATTGGGCACCATGCATCAATATTGCATGAATCATGCAAAAGAAAATATGCCACATAAGTAATGCAAGTGGTTAAAAGAATTTCTGGTCACACAGGCAGTACAAACAACAACCCACTTGTTCCCCAAGAAAAAAAAAAAAAAAAAACAGCTCAAGAGTTCTAAACCAACATTTCCAAATAGCTAAGCTGAGATGTAAAGTGGCTGCAAATAACCAGCTGGAAGCCTCTGTGTTGGCATGGTTCACAAGCTGTGAAGTAACACTCGGCAGAACTTGCAAGGCTCGGTCAGAGAAGTAGCGGCATAGTCGTAGCGGTGATGGAAGTGACATTTAAATGGCGCTTTGGAGTAGAAAAAATGCCAGTATGGAGCAGCTATTGATGTTTTTGAAGCAGATAGCAAAATATTATGAACGACTTCTTGAGTTTAATACATCATTTAAGCTTTGTATAAGTATTAATATTTATTATTAACATATTGCACATACAATAATCACTGCAAATTGCAAGAAATATAATTAGGCACATGGATGGTCATTAAACTCCAAGCATCATTTTCATATTTTGCTGAAGTGCCTAGAATTGAAATTTTAAAAAATCTAATCCGCTAAATGAACTAACATTTAAAATGGTTGTCCTTGTGATAAACATGGTCAAAGCTGATGAAAGTGCAAAATGCGATTACCCACATATCAATTTCATCACAACAGCGGCTAGTGAGACTAAGAAACCTCACACGCATTTCACTAAAATAGTCTGCTTGTAAGTTACAAGTACATTGCTACATGAGATGCAAAAATGCTAGTAATGTGTAGTATTGTCAATTTTCTAGTATATAGCTACTATACAAGCTGTATACTAGACGACAGTATACAGCTTGTTCTTGCTTTCATTTAGGTGCGCTGGATGGTTCCATGGTTTGACTTCATAATTTTTAGTTTTCCCAAAGCCGTTTCAGAGCAGGTTCGGAGCGATTACTAACAAATATTGCACTTTGGAGCAGCATTTCTCTTTTGGAGCAGTTTGAAGTAGCATTTCATCACTGTCACAGATGCTTGGCATACTCTTTGATGTGAAATATGCCAATATGTCCCGAGGTGGATGCATCATTTGAGCAAAGGAGCCTTGGGATAATGAGAGGATCAGGGCCTCACATTTTGTTGGTGCAAAGTACACAAAGTAGTGTCTCGAAGAAAGAAACTTGTAGGGGAGGGTATAAGGACTGGCACTCAAGTGAACGAGTCCTGCAAGATAGGTATCACGACACTGCCCCTCAGCGATACAAAGATAAAACATGCAGCATTTTTGGTGTAAGAGAAAAAGGGATGTCAATGCTGCAGGTGACAAAACTTGTGTACCACACTATGTTGAAACTCTTGCAGCCTCAATTAAAGGGGCCACGACATCCCGCTTTCAATTATGATTTGTGTTATGCAAGTTATCCCTTGTGCATTCACAAACAAGCTGGTGAAATTTTAGTGCATTTTGTCAAGCACCTAATCTATAATTGAATATTTTGCAAACACGCGAGTGGCATGCGAGTCGGGCAATAATGGTGCGCTCGCAACGTAACAAGCTGCTTGCTGGGCGAGCATCTGCATTCTGGCAAATAATTTTGTTCTGTGGACAGTTGTGCATGCAATCGAGCTATTTAAGATTTTTGAAGTTTGGCATTGAAATTGACCAATTTAGTAGAAGATGGCAGCTTCACTCTATGCAGCACAGGACGTCACCTAAGCCATGGCAAAATGGCAATTGCTAGCGGTAGGCAGGTTTTATAGAGAGCGACTTCAAGGCCTTATCTTGAACTAAAGATTCTTTGTGTAGGCCATTTTCATGAACGTATAAGCCACAAATGACTCTTTACTTACATTTTTTGCTGAATACAAATTGTGGAGTGGCTATGTCATGTTCCCAACTGGCATAAGCCCAGCTTACATGCTAAAACTGTACCTATGCCATGACCACTGGTATCCATATCAGGGTTCACAGCACTTAAGTTAAAAAAAATTCAAGGGCTTTCAAGGACCTAACAAATTCTTTTCAAGGACCTAAAATAACACTTGAAACTGCAGAAAAAGGCATCACCACACTTTACAGCATAAAAATTTGTACTTTACCTTATATGTATCGTTGGCACCATGAATGCACCTAAGTTACCATGGACTGTAGTCACTTTTGTGTTCTCAATGTGTTTCGTACTCTTCATGCGACTTAAGGGCAGACTCCCCTAGTGATGACACGTTGAAGCTCTTCCTACATGGGAAGACTTTGCCTGATGAGAGTTTAACGTACCTGGTGCAATCCACTTATAAGCAGCAATGCATGACCAAGACGGCTGGAATTTGCACTTTCCTGGCATAGTCACACTATAAGCGACGCGACTGAGGATATCTGCGCACACTTGCACAGCCTCCACAAAAAAGCCAGGCTTAGATCCGTTGCTGCTGCAACCATGCAGGCGCTACCACAACTACAGTGTACTAGAAGAGTACACTGTACTACAACACTGCATATCGCTAGAGGAACGGATTGGATTGGATGGTTTGTTGGCTTGAGAAGACAAG